TTGTGTTTTTTTCCTTTTCTTTGTCGTGAAGAAACTGTTTCTAAATCCTTAATGTTAGTTGATTCTGATTTTTAATACTTTTGTTCTATTATTTTTTTAAAATCTATTTAAAAATTAAACAACCAATTATTTTTTAAAGATAATTCAAAGGTAAAAACGAGTATCAACATAATTAAAACCTAATGGGACAAAACTAAACACTTTTAAGTGTATTGGGACGAAATCATTTTCAACGGGGGCAATTTTCCAAAATTTTCAAATTTATTTCTAGAGACAGTTTATTTTGATAGTTAATTAAATGATATGAGTAAAGAAATGAAAACAAGAGTTGGCCCAAAGTGGGCCCAAGAGTTGTCTCGCGTGCGGTGTACAAGATGGGAGTCCGTTGGGCATGCTTTGTCGTCGTTGCAAGAGCCTCTTATCTTACTCGTTTCTTCCCTTTTTCTAATCTTCCTATGTTCGAGATTTCATTCTAATAACCTCTTAAATAATTATTCCTTATCCTAAATCATTTTGTTTTATATAACGCCAAAGGATAATTGTACACATTAGTAAGCTGAAACATTTTGTCTAATACTTGACTAGCTAAAAAAATTAAGAGTTTATATACTAAAAGTCTATATATTTAAACCTTTGCAAAAAATGTTACATACAAGATTGTACCGAACTTTTAGTAGCTTCCATGCATAACTACATTATACAAAGATTTCACATACTTCAAATTCGTTTTTATGTCATGGTTTCGCGTGTTACACACTTACACTTGGTTTTTACGTGACTCCCGATCTGTTGTAGATAGTTAAATATGTTCGTTTGTTCTTTGTTTGATATATAGAAAACTATATCGATTCAATAAACAACTAAAGTTGCACCCTTTAACATTACAATTGCTGTGAACAAATAAAGTCTAAGGAACTCGGTCATTGTAAGTGTGAGCATCCATTTTAATTGATATCCGTACCCTTGGTCGTCTACTATTATTTTAGTAATTTATAATTCACACTATCAAACTTTTTCTTACAAAAAAAGATATTAGTTTGTAATCTATTTTAAGAAAGTTATTGTATGGTACATAGTTATAGATTATATATTGTTAAAAAGTGATGACAAAATCTTGGCAATGGAGATTTTACTTGATGTTAGCTTTTGAAGGGGAGGGATTTGATTGAAGGAAAGACAAGGCTTGTGATTTGTCCATTTCATACTTAAGGTGGACCAACTAAATCACTCTCATGTCTTCTATGCAATGATCTATCTTTTCTGCCTTCTTTTTTCCTACGAATTCAAGTGTCAAGAATGCAAATGGTTCTTGGAAAAAACATTATTATTTAACTTTTACAAATTTACAAGTAATATAAACAGTTCAATACAATGAAAAAATTACATTTGGTAATACAATTATAGATGGGATGGTGTATTC